TAACTCCATGAGTAGGGCACCAGCCACATACACTAAAGGTGGAGGGTTCGAGCCCGGCCCAGGCCTCTTAGACAACGACAACTGTAACCAACAAAATGGCCAGGCATTGTGGTGGGCTCCTGTGGTCCCAGCTATTTGGGAGGCTGAAGCAGGAGAATGGCTTAAGCCCAAGAGTTTGGGGTTGCTATGAGCTGTAACGCCACAGCGCTCTCCCGAGGGCAACATAGTGAGACTCTGTCTCCAGAAAAAAAAAATCTCAACTGCTTAAAACAGATCTTATTTTTTCCATACTACACATCCATTAGGTCAGCAAGTGACACTCCTTTCATGTCATTCAGATCCAGGCTAATATAAAGGTATGATCTTGACATATGGTTCCATGATGACAGAAGGTGAGGGGAGAGAAAAAGTAGCTCACCACCTTTTTTCTTTACCTTTTTTTTTTTTAAGAAATCACTTATTGTATTTTATTTTATTGACAGAGATTTTTTTTTGTCTCCCTTGGTAGAGTGCTATGGCATCATAGCTCACAGCAACCTCAGACTCCTGGGCTTAAGCAGTTCTCTTGTCTCAACCTCCCAAGTAAATAGGACTACAAGTGCCTGCCACAGTGTGTGGCTATTTGAATCAAGGTCTCATTGTGGCTCAGACTGTGAGCTCAGACAGTCCACCCACCTTGACCTCCCCTAGCGCTAAGATTACAGGTGTGAGCCACCATGCCCAGCTTTTTTTACCTTTTACTCCCAGATTACACTGCCGCTCACATGTCTCTAGCCACAGAAATAATGGCCATCTCTAAGTCCAAGTGAGTAGAGAAGTAAGAAGTACCTTCCTACCATATGCCAGACTGAGAAAAGCAAACATTTGTCCACAGCTCTGATAACTACCGCAAATAAATAATCTTCCCACTTGATTCTTTTTTTTTCCACTCTGTAATTTTTTTTGTTTGTTTGTTTGTTTTGAGACAGAGTCTCACTATGTTGCCCTTGGTAGAATGCTGTGGCGTCACAGCTCACAGCAACCTCCAACTCCTGGGCTTTGGCTATTCTCTTGCCTGAGCCTCCCAAGTAACTGGGACTACAGGCACCTGCCACAATGCCCGGCTATTTTTCAGTTGTTAGCTGTCGTTGTTTGGCAGGCCTGGGCTCGGCTCTGACCCAGCAGCTCTGGTGTAGTTGGCTGGTGCTCTAGCCACTTGAGCTACAGGCGCTGAGCCTCACTCAGTTATGTTTTAAACTTTTCTTCGTGTAGTATTTGCATGATTTTTGTTGAGTTTATTCTTCGATATTTTGCTATTTTTCTTGGTAGTAAAGGTAGAAACTTTTTTCCATTTCATTTTTTTGTCTGGTTTCATTGCAGTATAATATTGATGCATGTACCCCAGTTTATTCACACATTCTTTCGTTAGTGGGTGTTTGGATAGTTTCTAGTTTGAGTTCTTATGGGATATATGTGTCTTTGGGACTACATGATATATTTTACATTTCTATGAGTACTTCCCTAGGGGTAGAACTGTTGGGCCATTAGTTACACAAGTATTGAGTAAAAACTATCAAACCATTATATCAATTTCTGTTTATACCTGTAAAAATGAAAGTTGTTCTACATTCTTGACACCACTTGCTATTATCAGTCATTGTAGCCATTGTGGTAAATTTATAGTGCTGTCTCACAGCATCAGAGTAAGAGAGTGCGTTTGTGAGAAAATCAGAATACCACTTATTTCATTTAGAGAAAAAATCTGTTGAGTATATCAAGAAGACCAACTTAAACTGAATAACCTCATCTTCATTGGTTTAGGTTCAACCTAAACATGTGAAGGAAGCTTTCCGGTTACTGAATAAATCAATCATCCGTGTGGAAACACCTGATGTCAATCTAGATCAAGAGGAAGAGATCCAGATGGAGGTAGATGAGGGTCCAGGTGGCATCATTGGTGAGATTTATTCATGTAACTGTTATGTCTCGAGCTGGGAACCAGAAAGTTTTCTGACATGTCATATGGCAAAAGCACACTTGATGATTATGAAGTTCTGTGTAGCAAAAAAGAAAAAATAGATATTGAGCTATATTAACTGTTGACAAGTTAAGATATGATTAAATTATTGATTTTTAAATATATATGCTTAGCCACGCATGGTAGATGCACCAAAGTGGTGATAATGGACTTAAATCCTCTGGCTTCTCCACCCTTATTTGTATTATTTTATATTTATTTATTTATTTATTATTTTTTAGAGATAGCGTCTCACTTTATTGCCCTCAGTAGAGTGCTGTAATGTCATAGCTCACAGCAACCTCCAACTCCTGGGCTTAGGCCATTCTCCTGCCTCAGCCTCCCGAGTGGCTGGGATTACAGGCACCTACCACAATGCCCAGCTATTTATTTTTGTTGCAGTTTGGCCAGGGCTGGGTCCAAACTCACCACCCTTGGTATATGGGGCTGGCACCCTACCCACTGAGCCACAGGCACTGCCTCCTTATTTGTATTATTATTTTGCTTTTAAATTTAAGACATTTTTCCAAGCACATTAGAACAAATACTAGAATTTTTTAATTTGTTTATGATGCTGCAAGTGGATTTTTAGATCATGAAGTTTAGATCTTCTAGCCCTCATATTCCTCCCAAGTTATATTTTGTCTTCACTGCTAGAGTTTATAAATTTGCTTCTGATGTATTTATAAAATTTTATATGCAGTATATAACTGTGTGCTTGTTTTGAAATTAATATTAAATATAAATAGTATATTTGTAAATATTTGACAAGGGAATTTAGAAGCACAAAAACAAAATTCTGATAAATTTTTTACTTAGGTCATGATGACAGTCCTGCACCTGTAAATGGAATCAATGGCTACAGTGAAGATATAAATCAAGATTCTGCTCCCAGAGCCTCCCTAAGGCTTGGCTTCTCTGAGTATTGCCGAATCTCTAACCTTATTGTACTTCACCTCAGAAAGATGGAAGAAGGTGAGTGTATACCTAGCACTACTTACGTGCTCAGTTGTTTGCTTAAGCTGTATTCACATAGGCCACTTTAGATTGCCATTTTTCTATCAGAAGAGGTGATCAGTTGCTAGGCAAGCTCACTTTAGCAAAGTAAATACATGGAGTATCAGCATACCTGCTAGCTTGAATATTTCCCACCAAATCTCATTGAACTCTGGCCCCTGGGCTGACAAAGAACCATTGGATGAGGACCACTGGCATCATCCGAGATAATATTCTTCAACCGATTGACCAACCTATCAGGTCTAGGAGATGCAACAGCTTGGAGCCTTTACAGACTCCCCAAACATTACAGGCACTGCACTTGCCTGTAGCTCAGCGGCTAGGATACCAGCCACATACACGGGAGCTGGCAGGCCTGCCAAACAACAATGACAACTGCAACCAAAAAATAGCTGAGCATTGTGGCAGGTGCCTGTTATCCCAGCTACTTGAGAGCCTGAGGCAAGAAAATTTCTTAAGCCTAGAAGTTTGAGGTTGCTGTGAGCTGTGATGCTACGGTACTCTAACCCAGGGGGAGCTTGAGACTGTGTCTCAAAAAATAAAATAAAAAATCACTGAGAACTCCACCTCATGTCTTGCTTATAGCTCGATACATGCGGAACTTCTTTCACATGGAGGAAGAGCTACTTGCTGTCTCCTATTTCATAGTTAATGAAGCCAAACTGATCTTTCGTAAAAAATATGGAACACTTCGCAAATTTGCATGTCTTCCTTGCTTAAGGGCCATGCTAATTTTCTCTATATCATTCCAATTTTAGTGTATATCCTGTCAAAGTGAACACTGCCTTGGACTTTTTTTTTTTTTTTTGAGTGAATGCCCATGAATTTCACATCTAGTAGATTCCATTTCTGTATAGACTTCCTCTTTCCAAAGAGGAAAAGCTGTATTTAAGAACTTTTGCTTGGCTTGGTGCCTGTGACTCAGGTGGCTAAGGCTCCAGCCACATACACCTAAGGTGGCGGGTTCGAATCCAGCCAGGGCCCGCCAAATAACAATGATGGCTGCAACCAAAAAATAGGTATTGTGGTGGGCGCCTGTGGTCCCAGCTACTTGGGAGGTGGAGGTAGGAGACTCTCTTGAGCCCGGGAGTTGGAGGTTGCTGTGAGCTGTGAGGCCACGGCACTCTACCCAGGGGGACAGCTTGAGGCTCTATCTCAAAAAAAAAACTTTTGCTTAGCCAGGCTCAATGGCTCTCGCCTTTAATCCCAGCACTCTGGGAGACTAAGGCAGGTGGATTGCAAGACTGAGACTACATCTCTACTAAAATTAGAAAAACTAGCAAGGCCTTGTGGTGAGCACTTGTAGTCCCAGCTACTTGGGAGACTGAGACAAGAGGATTGCTCAAGCCCAAGAGTTTGAGGTTGCTGTGAGCTATGACGCCACGGTACTCTACCCAGGACAATAGAACAGGACTCTGTCTCAAAAAAAAAAAAAAAGTTTTGCTTGCTTTTCTTTTATTTCTTCTAATTTATGCTTTCAGTTGCTGTTGGCAAACATTCTCTTAGATGGAAAAGCGGAAGAAGATGAAGAAAAGACCTTCGTACTTTGAAATCTTAATAGCTTTAAGAAACTTGTTTCTTATAATCTCTATTTTATTAGGTTTTTCTCTTAGGGATAAAGTAAGGTGTACTTAAGTGCAAGTAATAGAACAGGTTATTTCAGGCTTATGCTAAAGATGTACTTTGTGACAGGTTGATGGTTATCTAATCTGTACGTTATCTTGTATATGCAAATCCAAACGACTGACAATACATTTTGCTAGAATAATTTAACCCTTTTAAAATGTTTTTTGTTGCAGAAGATGATGAATCGGCATTAAAGAGGAGTGAGCTTGTTAACTGGTACTTGAAGGAAATTGAATCAGAAATAGACTCTGAAGAGGAACTTATAAATAAGAAGAGAATCATAGAGAAAGTCATTCATCGACTGACACACTATGTATGTATAACTTCACTTGCTCTAGTATTAATAAGGAAGGGAGTTCATGCCTTATATTTGTAGGTTTATTTTGATGTTTGTGTGTATTGAATCATGGGAGTGTAGTAAGAATTGAGTTATAAAACAAAGAAGTAACAGCAAGACTTGTTTAAGACTGCTTAAACAAGGACTGTAGTCCCAGCTTACTCAGGAGGCTAAGGCTAGAGGATCTCTTGAGCCTAGAGGAGTTTGAGCTTGTTGTAAGCTATGACACCATGGCATTGTACCCAGGACAACAGAGACTCTATCTCAAATAGGGAAAAAAGTATTGAGAGAAAAGTGTACAAACATGTGCCCATCCTTATTTGAGGTCTACATATCTCAAATGGACAGTTCCTAACTTTTGTCTTAGCCTTACAATGGCACTGCCCAATGCAATTACTTTTCCCTTGTCTCACTCTTACTGGGCCAGTACTACCTTCTCTCCACTTGTATGAACTGGTCTTTCCCAGACAGGCTCCCGCGTCAGCATCATTTGTCACAGTTGATCACTCCTAGAAATATTTTATTCACCTGCCTTCTGAGTCACCATGCATGATATAGGAAAGTGGAACCTAAAACCAGGGTCCAGCCTAAAAGCCATGAGGGTTCTTTTGGCGCCTAAAAGCCATGAAGGTTCTTGGCTTCGTGCAGGAAAGAATTCCAAGTGCTAGCCCTAAGGTAGAGATGAAAACAAAATTTATTATGGAGCAAGCAAGCTACTCAATAGATAGAGCAGCCCCCATACATTGCTGGAGAACTCTATTTATGGCTAACTGTTGATTATATGCTAAATAAGGAATGGATTCAAGAATTTTCTGGGAAAGGAGTGGAGAATTCCCCAAACTCCTCCTCTTCATACCACATGAAGTAACTTCTAGAGGTTGTCATGGTGATCATAAGCCCTCATGGCATTGGCAAAAATTTCTTTTAGTATGCTAATACCTGTAAACCGATATTATGAGCAACAAGGGCTAGCAGAGGTTTTTATTGCTGTCTTGGCTCTAACTTGTCAAACCTCATCCTGTTTTTGTCAAGATCTTAGTGCATGTCTTTCGACTTCTTAATGAGCAGGGCCTGACAGTTTCCTATCTCTACCATATTCTCCCAAGTCTTCTGTTTCACTGGTTATTTTGCTCTTGGTTCCTTTCATTGAATCTTTCTGGTTTTGTTTTGTTTTGTTTTTTTTAGAGACAGAGTCTCATTTTGTCACCCTCAGTAGAGTGCTGTGGCGTCACAGCTCACAGCAACCTCCAGCTCTCGGACTTAGGTGATTCTCTTGCCTCAGCCTCCCAAGCTAGAACTACAGGCGCTCATCACAATTCCCGGCTATTTTTTTGTAGCGGTTTGGCTGGGGCTGGGTTCGAACCCGCCCCCCTAGGTATATAGGGCCAGCACCCTATTCACGGAGCCACAGACACTGCCTAATTATTTACATTCTTTACTTGAATAATCTTATTTGTCTATGAATTTACCCATCTGCCAATTTTGTTTTTTGTTTTTTTTTTTGAGACAGCGCCTCAAGCTGTCTCCCTGGGTAGAGTGCTGTGGCATCACAGCTCACAGCAACCTCCAACTCCTGGGCTCAAGCGAGTCTCCTGCCTCAGCCTCCCAAGTAGCTGGGACCACAGGCGCCCACCACAACACCCAGCTATTTTTTGATTGCAGCCGTCATTGTTGTTTGGCGGGCCGGACTGGAATCGAACTCACCACCTTAGGTGTATGTGGCTGGCGCCTTAGCCACTTGAGCCACAGGCACCAAGCCAAACCATTACATGGCCAGCTCTCACCTATACTCTAAATATCAGATATTAAAAAAAAAAAAAAAAGTAAGCACCAGATGTAGCTGGTTGCCTACTGATGAACTAATAGGCAATGTTAGTTCAGGTAATATGTTCAAAAACAGAGTTCTTTCCTCCATTACTTTTATAGTGTGGTCCCATTTACTCAGTTGCTATCAGGAGTGACCTTTTTCTTCTCTACCACAAATTGGAAGAATAAGAGTTGCCTTTGGCCACACTTTGTACAAAAACTAACAAAAGCTATTGAGCAAAAAAATTTGAAAAGGTCTATACATATTTTTCATGGTATCTGACACCACAGATAAGCCAAACACTTAGCACACAGGCTACAAGTTGTACACTGATGCATAACCCAAAGCCTCGGAGTCGATTTTTAATGCCTTGATTCCACTCTCTCACAGCTCCTTTAACAGCAAATCCTCTGAACCCTACCTTCACTATATGTGTATTTTCTGTTCCTTTTTCACCACTTCATCAACCCACCCAAGCCACCATGCTTGGATTCTTGGGAGCCTCCTATTTCCTTCATGTTGGCTCTCTCTCTGCTCAGCAACCAGAACCAGATAGGTCTTTTAAAAACATAAATCAAGTTATTTCACTTTAGAATAAAATCCAGTCTTCTTGTTGTAGCCTGCAAAAGCCTAAATAGTCTAGCCTTTGTCTATCCTTTTCTGGTGTCTGCTCAAATGTCACTTTTTTTTTTTTTTAATGACAAGTCTTGCTTTATTACCCTCAGTAGAATGCTGCCACATCATAGCTCACAGCAACCTCAAACTCTCAGGCTCAAGTGATCCTCTTGCCACAGCTGTGCAGTGGCTAACTATAGGCACCTGCCACAATGCCCAGCTAGTTTTTCTGTTTTGTTGGTTTTTGTTTTGTTTTGTTTTGTTTTTGTAGAGATGGGGCCTCACTCTTGCTCAGGCTGGTCTCAAACTCCTGAACTCAAGGGATGCTCCCATCTCAGCTTCCCAGAGTGTTAGGATTACAGACATGAGCTAGCTACCACACCCAGGCTTAATGGCACCTTTTCAAACAACTCTTTCTTACTTTGTGTTTCGTAGTGCTTCCTGTCTTTTTTCAAGTTATATTTACAAGCATTGATATAATGTGCCAAGAAACTTTAGAAAAATCACAATTCCTATTTAGCTTGCTTACATATTTGTTAATTTTCCAAAAGGGGTTTAAGTCAGCATCCTAATGGGAGGGCGTTTTAGCAGAATACTGATAGTGGTTTTTAAGGTATAAGCCTTTGGTGGGAAAATGAAAGAAAATGTCAGTAGCAAACATTCAGAAGTAGGGTCCAGTCTTAGGCATTTGGACATGTTTATGATAGTGCTGGAGCCCTAAGGACAAATATTTGTGTTTCACAGGATCATGTTCTAATTGAGCTCACACAAGCTGGATTGAAAGGCTCGACAGAGGGAAGTGAGAGCTATGAAGAAGATCCTTACTTGGTAGTTAACCCTAACTACTTGCTTGAAGATTGAATTAATAAAGCAAATGACCAGAACTGAGGAACTGTGGCATACCACCTTCTGACTTAGAGCCTGGATGGAGCTCTGCTACAGAAAAATATGTTTCTGGATATGGATACTTCAGGAGTTGAGAAACAAAGAACTAAGTTGATGATCCTTTGTGTCACATGTCTGTCACACACTTTTATTCCAATCCATGCCTCAGCACTTTCTTTAATGTGCTTCTTGTCCTGATAAAATTGGGGGCCAGTAATAAGTGATTTCTGTAACATAAAGACGTTTGTTTTTATGTATAGGAAAAGTCCCGTTACTTTTATGGATGTGGTTATCTTGTTGAGAAAAATATACTTTTTCTGTTGCCAACTATCTGCTTTTATTCATAAAAATAAAATGTTCTGAAGTTATCTTTCTTTTTTGCTTAATATGGGGTGAGTAGATAGAGGTATGCTATTATGGATCCTAGGATGAGGTTCCTATGAGGAA